GGGGACTTGCCTTAAAAGGAGAACTCCCGTTACCCTAAGCTCAGTATACCGCGAGCTACAGCTCTCCATATACTGAGACGCTTCACCTGGAGCGGACCCCGACTTAGATGACGGGATCCGCCCAGCTGCGTGACTGACAGCTGGCTCTGCCTATCTAGAGGCAGAGCCAACTGTACCCGCCCCCTCCCCCGTCCGTTCCGCCAGTCAGCGCTGGCAGATCGGAACGGGGAGAGGGGAATCCAGCCCCTCCCCCTGTCACGGCAGAGAGCCGTGACAGGATCGAGAGGTGAGGGAACCCGGTATGTGTTCGCTCACCTCCCGATCTACTGAGCCGACCTGTGACAGTCTCATTGTCACAGGCCGGCTAGAACTATGAGATGAGTGGAAATCACTCATGTCATAGTTCTCCTTTTAAATGATGCCTCTTGATCCGATCATCTCCTAAAAACTACAGGAAAGAAGGAGTCCCTCCAGCGGTGACTCCTGTCACTATATACAAAAACATGCGAGGCTTTAATGATCCTTTAAAGGAGAACTATGAGGTGAGTGCTTTTCACTCACCTCATAGTTCTAGTCGACCTGTGACAATGAGACTGTCACAGGTCGGCTCAGTAGATCGAGAGGTGAGCAAACACATACCAGCGTTCGCTCACCTCTCGATCCTGTCACGGCTCTCTGCCGTGACAGGGGAGGGGCTGGATTCCACCCTCCCCCCTCAAAGGAAGGACAGTGTCAGCACCAATTCAGAGATGATTGGAGGATCTACAGCCGAGTGATACACAAATAAGAGACATTGAGGGGAATTTATCAAAACTGGAGCAGACAGAATCTGGAGCAGATGTGCACGGCAACCAATCAGCTTCTCTCTTTCATTTTCAAATCTCAACTGAACAAACTAAACAGAGAAGCTGATTGGTTGCCCTGGGCAAGTGCTCCAGATTCTGCCTGCTCCAGTTTTGATAAATTCTCCCCATTGCTGTTAATAGTTGAGATACTTGAATGCATTTTTAAGATTTGACTCCTGAGTTTAGTGTCATTTTGACATTTTAGCAACCTTTGTCGCCGGTGATATTTAAACACTTCCTGAAACTGAACAAGTGGGCGGGTCTGCCTACAATCACATGATCAGTGCCGCTGTGGTAAAAGTAAACATTGCCTTAGCTCTGAGTATTCTCTCCCTGTGCTGCTTTGTTTACACATTGACACGTCTGTAAAGCTAAAACTGTCAAACATTTATCCGAGGGCAGGAGTGGGAAATTCCGGCCCTCCAGCTTCTGAGGAACTACAAGCCCCATGAGGCATTGCAAGACTGACACACACTCACCCACACACGTATGATTCCCAGGGGCAGAGGCATGATGGCAGCTGAAGTGGCAAGGTTGCCTACCCCTAGTGTACTTTTGCCATGGTTGCAAGGAAGGCAGATATAAATAGAAAGAGAATTTTTATTCGCATTGTTTAGCAAATCTATAAACTGGATTCCTGCGGAAACAAGAACCCCCCCTCTCAGTATAGAGGTCACACTCCACTCCTGTATTCTTCACATTCTAGATGATCAACCTTTCATCACAAAACTAAAAGTGAAAGAAAATCTCTGGTAGGGATCTGATGCAACAGTCCTCATGTATGACCTTCTCTCCAGTTATAATGACTATACAGAAGGCTGAGGGTGCACAATGTTTGTCATCGTGCCCTGATATTACCCTGACACATAATACACCCCCTCAAAGACAAATGTCCAAAGTGCGAGGATAAATGAAAGACGCTACTGACATATAACGATGTGACACGGATTGGGATGTGTGTGGAACTCTCTTGAGGGCAAAGCTGACAATTTTGGACCGTCAGGAGACTCGGTATCACCCCCAGAGATTGTAAGACAAGAGGCAGAAATGGCTAATAAATTGGCAGTCACACACAGTGGGGGGAATGGCTGTCACATTGGCTGTCACACACACAGGAGTGGGGAATGGCTGTCACATTAGCTGTCACACACATAGGAGGGGGAATGGCTGCCACATAAAGAAGTGGGGAATGGCTGTCACATTGGCTGTCACACACAGAGGAGGTGGAATGGCTGTCACACACAGAGGGGGGGAATAGTTCGTACACCAGGATCTTGCTGTCTCTATGGCTATCACACCAGGCTCTCTGCCCAGCACTCACCCATAGATTCTCCAGCTGCTTCCATCTCTGTCTCTCTTCTGCTGATCAGATTCTGATGCAACCATCAACAAAACGTGTCCGGAAGTCCCGCCCGGGCTCACTTCCGGTGCTTCCTGTTACCTGGCAACCGGGCCGCTGCGGCCTACACTGCTTTCAGGAGCCTGAACATGCTATCAGATATGTGATTCTCCACTCCCCTAGGTGTTCCCTCCACAGACCGGCCTGATATCACTCCTATCTCCTTCTGTGTGTGTGTATAGAGACATGGTTTATCGATCTGAGCCATTTATTCGGGAGAACACTGAGCCAAAGGAGTTTACAATCTAATGAGCTTATCGCAGTCATTACTGCATACAGTCATTCTCTCTGCATGCCCATCTCTCTTCCCATCTCTCTCTTCTTCCTTTTCTCCACACCCCTATTCTCTCTTTCTTTCTCTCTCTCTCTCTCTCTCTCTCTCTCTCTCTCTCTCTCTCTCTCTCATCTCCCATCTCCCCTCTCTTCTTTCTTTCCTTTAACCCTTACACTTCACGGATTAATGTTGGCACTAGCTGGAGTTCCTCTTTAAACCTTTTGTGATATTGTTTACATTTTAGGGACATACTAGGCCTCTTACAAAAAAATATCCAGCTCATATTTTTAGAATCTGACAATATGGACAACAATGTGAAAAATTGCAGCGTTAGTTTGTTGAATGCTTAACATATTCTCCAAAATAATACTTTTGCAAATATTTTCATTTATATATTTATCCTGAGTACAGAAACTCCAAATCTGTGTAGGTTTTGATACACACATCAGCGCGGGATGGGTGATAAACAAGTGTGTGTATATTATAGATTTAGAAATATTTGGCATTTTCCAGCACAATGGCTGTAATTCACAGACTGGCTTGGAACAACGTTTATGTACAGCAAGGCCATCGTGAACGGGTCGAATAGAAGAATTTATCGGCTTAAACACGCCCAATCACCCACTCGCCTGCCTGCCCATTATTTATTTCAGGTATTTTAATAGCTCCAAGGATTTACACAGCACTTTACATTCACATCAGGCCCTGTCCTCAAGGAGCTTACAATCTAAGGTCCCCATCTCACTTGCATACAGGCAGGGCTGATTTACACGGGAGCAAATTAGCCTTGCAGCATGTCTTTGAAGTGTGGGAGGAAACTGGAGTATTATGCTGGGCACACACGTTACAACCATCGCAAGACTTTTGTCTTGCGATGGTTGTAAGGTACTTTAAAAAAACGTACGATCTGCCTATGTTGGACAGGCAGATAGTACTTGCGATGATCGCAAGCCGCGCCCCCCTGAGGAGCGGGCTTCCGATGACAGCAATGCCGAACGGGCAGTGTGCGCTTGCGCACACCGGCCCGTCCGGCTTTTATCTTACGAGCATGCTACACACCCGCCGAACATCGCACGATGCTCGGCGGGTTTTCAAACATGTTCGTAAGTTAAAAGTCGTGCGACCTTACAGTAGTAGAGGTCGCACGGCTTCCACACACCTTACGATAATCGTGCGATCGTGGGATTTCCCGCGATTATCGTAAGGTGTGTGGGCACACTTAGGAGGAAGACCCACGCAAGCACAGGGAGAGCATGCAAACTCCTTGCAGATAGTGCCCTTACCAGGGACCCCCAGTGCTGCAAGGCAGAAGTGGTAACCACCAAACCATCGTGCTGCCCATTATATTTGCAGAAGTGATCTGGCAGCTGTACTGCGGGACAAGGGTGTGTTTTCATTCTTTCACTTCCATACTGTAGCACAGCTACGGCAGTGGCAGTACAATGGTCAATCATGCCCATTACAAAGTAGCTACCAATCAAGTCTCCAGGGAACACCTCTTGACTGGTCATCCAGTCAAGAGGTGTTTGCAAAAAGACCAGCTGTAGAAAGGCTCTACGGCAATAAAAAAAAACTGGACATAGAGCATATCTAAAACTAGGGATGCACTGATACCGGTTTTGCGGTACCGAGTACGAGTACTGATATATATATATTTTTTGGTACTCGCCGATACAGAATACCGATACCAGCATCCTGGGGTACTGCTGTCCCGGCTTATCAGGAAGCTTCCTGATTGCCAGGGAAGCCAGTGTTCTATTGAAAGAACACCGGCTTCACATTCCGAGGCAGCCTGGCTTCCTGACCAATTAGGAAACTGGGCGGCACGTTATGACCCGCCTCCAGGCTTCCTGATTGGCTAGGAAGCCAGCTTTACTTGTTGCTAGGCAGCCTGGCTTCCTGACCAATCCGGAAGCCGGGCGGGGGTCATGACGTGCCACCCGGTTTCCTGATTAGTCAGGAAGCCTGGCTGCCTAGCAAAAAAGTAATGCCGGCTTCCTAGCCAATCAGGGAGGCAGGTCATGACGTACCGCTCGGCTTCCTGATTGGTCAGGAAGCCAGGCTGCCCAGCAGCAAGGAAAGCCGGGAGGCAGGTCATGACCCATCGCTTGGCTTTCTGATTGGTCGGGAAGCCGACTCCATGCTCCCTCGCGGCACTGCCAGTCAGAGGGAGTTTCCCTCTGACCGGAAGTTCCGGTATCAGGGTAAGTATCGGAGCATTTGGGCGAGTACTCGCCCAAATACTCGATATCAGTATCGGTGCATCTCTATCTAAAACTATAACTCAAGCATGGAGCCCTAAAGAAGGGCCCCTAAAACGTGTTGGCAGTTTTGTGTTGTGCTGTTGTGATCTAGCACTAATGGTCAATAATTCTGGACTCTTGGACCTTTTTTGTTTGGTGATCTCGGACTTTGTACAGCCTTTTACTGGGGTCTGTGCCCACTTCCCTATTTGCCCTAGTGACTTTGCCATTGCAACTAAAAGTGGAGGAAAATCCAAAATATTAACAGGAATAGAGGAGAAATCTTCCAATTGGGACACATGTTCAGGTCGCCATAGTCTAATAGTATGTGGATCTCTTGGATTCCCCGCAGCTCTCTCTGTGTGACCTACCTCATGGAGTCCGGGTTGACAAGGGTGGCCTCTTGCAGCTCCAGTACAAGAGCCCCTGGATGGATGGTTTTCCAGCAGATTTCGAGAGATAATTTGAACTGAACAGAGCAGTGAACGACGACACGGGCAGCAGCAAAGGTGAGTATTTACTAGGGATGCACCAATACCGATACTACTGTGTTTCCCCGAAAATAAGACGCCGTCTTATATTTTTTTTGCCTAAAATAAACAACCAAAGTCAATGCAAATCCAAATTAAATCATCCAAAATACAAAGTTGAGAATAGGGTGATCAGGGCAATCAGGGGTGCCGTACCTTTCCAAGAGCAATTTGGTAACCAGAATGAGCATTTGGTATCACTCCGCCTGTGACAGGAGCAGGCGCTATAGAGGAAATATCGGCTTATGCGGCTCTGTCGCCTCGCTTCCTCTAGTGCTGGCTTCGTTGGCACCGCTGATTCTCTCCCGCAGCTCTTCAAGTTCCCCCTCATATCACCACCGGCCCTGGTAATGGTCACAACTAGGTCTTATTTTCGGGGTAGGTCTTATATTTTAGCAAGTCCCAAAAATAGTACTAGGTCTTATATTCAGGGAAACAGGGTAGTATCAGTATTGGTACCGATAACAAGTATTTAGGCGAGTACTCGTACTCGCCCAAATGCTCCTTATGCCTAGCCCGATACTTCCATTATCAGGAAGCCGGGCAGCGAGTCATTTAGCACTGCTTGATTGGCCAGGAAGCCGGCACCATGCTCCCTCGTCAGCATGGAGCTGGCTTCCTGATTGCCAGGGAAGGTGGCTCTATGCTCCCTCGTCTTGAGGGAGCATGGAGCCGGTTTCTTGGCCAATCAGGAAGACAGGCAGCGTGTAATGACTCGTCGCCCAGCTTGCTGATTGGCCAGGAAGCCAGGCGGCAAGTCATTACCCACCCCTCGGCTTCCCGATTGGCCAGAAAAGTCGGCTCCATGCTCCCTCATATCGCCTAGTGATGAGGGAGCATGGAGAAGGCTTCCCTGCTAATCTGGAAGCCGGGCGGTGAGTCATTAGACACCACCCGACTTCCTTAATGGGTCTTCCGGTATCAGTATTCGATATCGGCCAGCACCGGAAAAAAATATTGTTACTTGTACCCGTTACCAAAAAACTGGTATCGGTGCATCCTTAGTATTTAGACTCTTCATTTAAAGGTAAACCTTTTGTGGGGGACTTTACTATAGCCACGGTCAGACTGACAAATTATTCTTATTTACATTTTCATTTTGCCGAAGAAGCAATACACAAGTATTCTTTTTACTTAGTGCCATGTAAAAATATGTTTTTTTTTTAGTTGCAGCACGTTTTATTTTTAAGAATATGTATGAATAAAATATCTCAGACAGAAGAGACACTTTTCAACGTCTTTAGTTTGGAAAATAAATTACACTGATAAATTAAGATACAGTTCTTAAAAAAAATAATCCACAGACAAAAATACATAAAACAATGATAAGCATAAATTATGTAGTACAAATGTAATACAAAGAAGGAGGAGGAGGCACCAGGGTTGCTATAGTAACGGAGTACAATTTTCCAATTCAGTTTAGCACCCAATCATTTGCAGAGGAAGAACAACAACAAAAAAGGAAATTTCATTTCCACGTTATCAGATGACTGAAGAGAAAAGAGATTCACAGTGAAAATGTACAGTAACTCCTTTAGTAAATCAGCCCCTATGAGTGAGATGGAGTGTATTCAGACATTTTGTGTAGTGCTTCAGTTTGAAGTTAATTTGTGAAGCATTTTTGGCAGACGCATTGTGTTGCTTTGCTTTTTATTCCTCTATACAAGTCAGCGTGGATGCATCTCAAAAATTTGCACACGCTGATCATAGTCTGACCTCAAACTGCTCCAAATCTGCTGTCAAACTGTACCTCATACTGACCTTAAACTGCTCGCAAACAGATGTCAGACTGGTCTCAAAGTGACTTAAAGCCTAATTCCAGCCTTACCCTCAGTCCAGTACTTTTTTTTTTTTTTTTTAGGTAAAATTCGGACACATCTGAATTTCCAAATCCCAATGCATCCGAATGTGTCCGAATCTGAATTTCGGTTTACGAGTTTTGGATCCCGTCCGAATTTTGTTCAAAACCGAAACTGAATCGGACATGTGACTTTTATGGCCA